ATTATTCTAGTAATAGCTTTATATTAGAAATATCTAGATTTATTACCTAAAGATAGTATTCTAGTATAACTAATTTATATACTAATATAGTAGTAGAACCTACTACCTCTAGGTATAACTACTATATTAGTACTATAAAGATTACTGCTAAGTCTACTATAGAAACTACTATATTTTATAGTATAATATCTCTTAACTAGATCTTCTATCTTAGTATAATTAAGACTACTAGGATACCTATACTTAGTAGAAGTTAGCTTTCTAGTAATAAGGCTTTAGTAGAACTATCTCTATAGTAAAAATAACTTTAAACCCTCTATTTAGCTAAATTATAGAGAGTATAAGAAATTAGACTATCTTATTTATAGAACCTTTAGGATATAAATAGCTATAGATTAATAAGGTTAAGTAGTTAAATATAATTAGTACTATAACTATAGATTAATAAGGTTAGGTAGTTAAATATAATTAGTACTAAAGGTACGTATACTAAATATTATATAGATATAAGGTACTAATTGTGTTTAACTACCTAACCTTATTAATCTAGTCTTATAAGATCTAATATTTACTACTATTAAGGTAGTTTTATAACTTAGTAGATATAAGATCTAACTCTTACTACTATTAAGGTAGTCCTATAACTTAGTAAGTATAAGATCTAACTCTTACTACTATTAAAGTAGTTCTATAACTTAGTAGGTATAAAGTTCTATATACTGTAATTATAATATATTAGCTTAAGTATAGAGTTAATATATATTCTTATATATTAATTATTAAATATAATAATCTTAGTAGCTGTTAGGTTTCTAGTCTTCTTATATTTCTTAATAGCTAAGTATTTATAGTAAAGATACTAATTAAAGGCTTACTTTTAATTAATAAGTATTATCTATATATTAAATTCTAATATTATTACTTTAAAGTATTATACTATTCTAGCTTTATATTTTATCTAGATTAACTTAACCTTCTCTTACTTATTTTAGAAGACTAGACTATTAAGGTTAAGAAGAGAGTTAGAGTATAATATATTATTTCTCTTTAATTAAACTAGCTAGTAGGCTATATTAATTACAGCCTACTTTATATTTTATTCAAATTAACTTAACCTTCTCTTACTTATCTTAGAAGACTAGACTATTAAGGTTAAGAAAAGAGCTAAAGTATAATATATTATTTCTCCTTAGTTAAACTAGCTAGTAGGCTGTATTAATTATAGCCTACTTTAAAAGTAAGTTAGTAATAGAATTCTACCTTAATAGTAAAGTAGATATCTATATTAACTTTATACTAGTTTTTAACTTTAACCTTATTAAAATACTGTTTAAGAAAGTTAATAGTAACTTTTAGGTTATAGTACTACTTAGTCTACTTATTATTTTTATAATTAAAGAGCTAGTTATTTTTATAATTAAAGGGCTAGTTATTTTTATAATTAAAGAGCTAGTTATTCTTATAATTAAAGAGGTAGTTATTCTTATAATTAAAGAGCTAGTTATTCTTATAATTAAAAGGCTAGTTATTCTTATAATTAAAGAGCTAGTTACTTTCTAAAACGCTTATAGTTATATATAGCGTTTTTATAAACTTCTAATTTTTACCTAAGGTATTAGAGATATACTTAGAAGAGAAAGTACTAAACCTTATATCTAAGGTTAAATATATAAAATATATACTTAGATAGTAATTCTAGAGAAGTTATAATTACCTATATATTATTAAAGCGCGTTTAGTTAATATAGAGAAGATATAACCTATATTACTTATCTATATTACGTAGGTTTAGAATATATATAATAGGTTTATAAAGGAGCTTATTTTTTACTATATTATACTATAATATATTAGCAGTATATAAAGCACAGCTTACCTTATTAATATCTTATTAAAAGGTATTTACTAAGTAACTATATATTCTATAGCCTATTCTACTTAGAAAGAGTGTATTTATTAATAATAAAGTAAGATATATATATTACGTTTCTAACTTAATAATAAATATAAGCTATACTAATAAGATCTATAATCTTATTAATAGTTATCTATTATATAGTATTTCCTATATCTATTTTATAGAGATATAGTAGCTAGCTATTAACTAGCTTTAGTAGTTATACCTTCTAGTATCTAACTATACTTACCTACTTAAAACTCTTATATAGGTCTTTAAATAATATAATAACTATACTAAATAATAACTATATTAATTACTTATAGATATTTAGTAATAGGTCTATATAGTATATAATAAATACTATACTGCGTAAGTTATTACCTTAGCTATAAGAGAAGATTATACTAAGTTTTAATCTATTTAGAAGAATATAATTTTAAAATATTACTATATCTTATAGTAAGGTTCTAGTATACTAAGTAGTATTAATATCTTTTATCTTATCTAGCTCCTATTACTATTAAGAATCTATAGGTATACTTATCTTATCTATAAAGTTATACATATTATCTTAAGAATTATTATTATCTTAATATACTATATTATTATTTCTAATAAAGTCTATATACTTATCTCTACTCTACCTTATATAAATATATTATTTCTAAATAAGCGTATTAATTTCTACACTTCTATACTTATAACTAGTAAATATAGTAAACCTCTTTACTATATAAAGAAATTACTTAAGTAACTATTAGGTATAGTAAGATAAAGGACTAAAATCTTATATATTCTACCTAAGGTAAAGTAAGTAATAATACTAAATAGTATTTAATAGTAGTAGGTCTAAATCTTCTTAATAATATAAATTCTTATACTTATATATAAA